CTTCTTCCATGACTGCGACGATGTTGATGACAGCCGGATTCACACTAAAATAAACCCCTCATATAAAAAATCCAAAAAATTGGTGAACTGCATGTAAGCACAACTTACAGCTTTACAGTCTTCATTACTCGTATCTAAGAACTCTTCTACAGATCCATCGAGAAGAGTACGATCAGAGAGCACGCCATATTTCTGCGTACATTTTGCTTGGCATTGTGCCAAACGAAAATAGTGAGCATAGTCGATTTGAATGTATGGTAGCACAGTAAAAGCTGATACTGTTGATATTACCATAATCAGTAAGAGGAGGTTTCGCATTTTCTGAAAAAAAGAACATCGTGAAACCCAAATCAATATGTTTTCATGATAGAAACAATACTAGTCAATCTAGCTAGGCGGCAATACCTCATCAACTGGCTTTTGACGAGTGTGGCACATAAAAATGTCATGAAACGGGAGTAGGTTGTGACAAATTGAAGAGTAGTAGCATAAAAGTTGGCAGCACATGAGAAGCCAAACAAAAATTGAGGCAACAAGAAGGGGAATTGCAATTGTTTTGGCATGCTCGTCTAAAATTGGTATGTGCCTCGTGCACACGCTATTGAAATAATCATGAAGAATATAGGCTAGTTATTTAACAAAAAGTGATTTCACTTTTTTTGTAGATTTGAATTAGAAAAATTAATATTTTCAGATCTCTTCACACCATTTTTTGGATCTGAGATTTTTCCAAAATAAAAGTTGTTTTAGGAGTAATTTGCCAATTTTGAATAATAAATCATAGAAGCGATAGCTTAATGTCTGAAAACAAGCTGGATTTTCGGACTAGCTGTAAAGTAAAAAGTTCGAATATAGCCTTTACTCAGAATATCCCCCTAAAGACTCAACAATAAGACGAAAATTGAATTTGCTACTCATATTGCCTCTATAATATGTGAAGCTAAAAAACCTCTACAAAAACAAGACTTTCATCATTTTTGGCCTTCTTCCTGAAGAAAATGGTATAGCTTGGTTTCTTCAACTCAGACCTCAAAAACATTGCCGATTCGGCGATCTCATTTGAATGTTTGAATGGAGTTTTT